AAAAAAAAAATAAATAAAAATAAAAATCAGGAGGTTTATGAGAGAGCAAGGAGGGCGAGAGGAAACTGAGTCCCAGCCGTAAAGAGACAACACAACAAATAGCTCCACCCAAGATACAGCAAAGCAGCAGCAATCTGTCAAAAACCTGGGGTATCCAGGAGGGAGATTTGCTTACTAATCTCAGAGCATGTGCCACAGGGGCAGGGATCTTTGGGAGACTTCTCCAGGAACAAATGAGCTTTCTCTCCCTCACTCCGTAGCATAAACACATGGACACCTGCAGCAACCAGCCAGAGCACCAACACTTGCTACCTAACTTGTTCATAGTGCCCCCGCCCACTTGTTCTCTTGCAAACATGCCCCAAACAGCCAGAACTCTACTCCAGATCATCACCCATAGCAGACCTGGACAAACCTTGCTAACACTACCAGACCTGCCCCCATACACTTCTGTATATCAGCCTCTTCCAATCCACATGCCTTAGTCCCCAGCAGCTGCAGGAACCCTCCTGTGGCTGACAACCTTGCTGGCACCAGATGCCCTGTCCTCACATTCTCCTATACCTCTGTGCTACTACATCTCTGGCAAATGTTCAAGTTAAGTCCAAGGTGGTCCCAGGCTGGCCGATTAGCAACACAAGGACCAAATCCTGCCCATAACAAGCAAAGAGAGCCACTGTAGACAAATGGACAGAAGGCAAAAGCTGCTCAGCTACAACAGCAGGGCACAGACAATGCACACAGGAGATACCCCTGAAGTGCCAGGTACTGATCAGCAGGGGACAAAGCACTACAGGTCACTACATGCCCTCTTAATAGGCCACTACTTTCCAGAGCAGGAGATGTAGCTGACTTTCCAAACATATGGAAACAGACACAGTTAAACAAATGGAAGACACAGAGAATATATCCCAAATGAAACAGGACAAAAATCACAGTGAGAGCTAAACAATACAGAAATAAGTAATACAACTGATAAAGAATTTAAAGTAATGGTCATAGAGATACTCACTGGACTTTTAAGAAAAGAGTGAAGGACCTCAGTGAGACTCTTAACAAAGAGAGAACATAACCAATTAATGATGAAGAACTGAATTACTGAAATTAAAAATACACTAGATAGAGGGTGCCTGGGTGGCTCAGCTGGTTAAGCATCTGACTCTTGATTTCAACTCAGGTCATGATCTCACGGTCGTGTGATGGAGCCCCATGTCAGGTTCTGCACTGATAGCATGGAGCCTGCTTGGGATTCTCTCTCTCCCTCTCCTTCTGCCCCTCCCCCACTCATGCTGGCTCTGTCTCTCTTAAAATAAATAAGTAAACTAAAAAATTTTTAACAATACACTAGGTGGAATAAATAGTAGACTAGAGGAAGCAGAAGAACGGATTAGTGATCTAGAGGACAGAGAAATGGAAAGCACTCAAGTTGAGCAAGAAAGAAGAAAAGACATAACAAAAAATGAAAATAGGCTTAGGTAAATTTAGCCATATCATGAAGTGTAATAACATTTGCATTATAAGGATCCCAGAAGGAGGAGAGACAGAAAAGGGGACAGAAACCATATCTGAAGAAATAAGAGCTGAAAACTTCCCGAATCTGGGGAAGGAAACAGAAATCAAGATCCAGAGGCACAGAGAACCTCTGACAAATCAACTCAAGGAGGTCCACACCAAGAATTAAATACACACACAGTAATTAAAATGGCAAAAAGTAGTGATAAAGAAGGAATTTTAAAAGCAGCAAAACAGTTACATACAAGGGAAACCCCATAAGGCTATCACTGGATTTTTCAGCAGAAATTTT